TATATATATATGTATATTTTACCTATATGCAAGCTTGTTTGTTTTAGTACCCAAAGACAAGCTTCAGAAAGCACAACCGTTAGTAGAAAAGGTTTTTTGAACAAAGCATCTGAAACAGCTTCGCTGTAACATAACATCTGGTCCCTTCTAGCTAGTTTATTAATCAAAACAAACATTTTATATCTGACCCTGTTCATGCACTTTTGCATATTCTTATCTACAAAGTAACGTAGTTGTACATATACATATTTACAGTAGGTGTATATATACAGTCCAGGCTGTAAGTTTAGTTTTGTTCTTTTAGTTTATTCATTTATTTAACAGGGACAATGCATTTTAATTACATTTCTGTCAATATGCCTGAGTTAGCCCCACAAAGGTTATGCTGAATAGTAGCTAACTGAACTTGTGAACTTGTAAAGCTCATAGGTGCAAAGTAGTATACACATTATTGGATGTTTTTCCCCTAAAGGCCTTAATTTATTTTTAATTTTCTTTCTTACATAATTTGTTCTACAAATACTTTTGTAAGCATGCATTTGAACTGCCACTCTTTGCCAAACTTTGTTGTACATAGACCTTGTAACTTGTAGCACAGAAAGCAGTTCTCCTTTGCCTTTTCCCAGTGAGCTTACATCCAGTTAAACAGTAACTTTTCCTTCTGCCAAAATGTATTATTGTAAGTTGGTGTTGAACATTGTACAAAATACAAAAATTATGAGTTATTTGTTTGCAAGAGTAATATATGCATCTGTGTATAGTTATCATTTAGCATAATCAAAAAGTATACTGTATATTACAATCATATTCTTGTTGTAGCTGACAAGCACCTTCATCATGTATTTTCCATTGTATGCATTCATTTGCTTTCTAGTTAAGTGTTTTGAAGGATTTATGTGTGGCTCCTAGAGACACAACACCAGCTGATGCACAGAAAGTTTCCCACCAGTGTTTTATGAATAAACACTCTGTTCCCTGTTCTGTAATTCATTCTGCCTTTCCATCTTCATTTTGCAATTTATTGGAGAACTCTGTTTTAGTTGATCTCCCTCCATAAATTGAAACTCCTGTGTTAATATGGTTTTATTTTTACTGGTATATCTGTCTGTCTGTTAACCTGTAACTGTCACTGACCTGCCAGTGGGGGGGGTGGGGTGTATACAGTACGAGTATGAAACACTGCGTCCTGTGTTAATATGGTTTTATTTTTACTGGTATATCTGTCTGTCTGTTAACCTGTAACTGTCACTGACCTGCCAGTGGGGGGGTGGGGTGTATACAGTATAATGAAACACTGCATCTACCATCCTGTGAAGCATATAGTACAAGAAGCCAGCCTGACAGGAACTATGTAATTATGTCAAAGGTATGACTGTACATATTAAAGAATAACACTGCAAACCGCTGTGTAATGGTCTGTTTTGTATAACTTAATAGTTAATGAATGCAATCATATTTTGGTACAGGGTTAGAATGGTGCATGTTGAAATGAGGTGAAGAATTAAGACAGTCCAAGTAACTTCAAAACAGTGCTGATTTATTCAAAGGATCACAGGTAAAATTAACATTACACGCTCAGGTATCTTGCACCTCCAAACTGCTCACAGGCAGATGTAAGATGAAAGACCCTGAACCCACCAGGCCTATACATTATATCCCCTCGGTTGGGCTAGCCCCATACTACACAGAAACGTCAACCGAGACGTCTCTGTTACCAGCTTTGCAGCTGGTCATAGCAGTAGTCAAAACATGAAGCAAATCAATGTGTGTGTGTGTCTGTTGATTAAGTGGTGTGTAGCTAAAAACATTCTCACACGACCTCTAGTAACATGTCGTGACATTAAACATAAGAACATATTATGGCTAAGGCTACAGTTATACACGTCATAATAATAATATTAAACACCCTGTCTGCTGACAGTCATCAACTCTTCTCTCTAATATCCTTGACCAGATGTACCCTGTAGAAACTCATAAGCATGACTAAGCATTTAACAGTCTAACTAGACATCCTATCTCCACTAAACATTTCTAATACAAAAAGTATC